ATAGCTGGGCCTGTGGCAGTTGTTTCTCCTTGTACGTTAATAATTGGCCTTCTCCAATATATCAGTGTCTTAGAGGTCTGTTAGTTCCAGCCAGCACTCTTAATCAACTCTGTTACTGATAAGTTTCTGAATATGCAAAGGACAGGCTCCACATTGACTAGCAGCAAGTCACAAAGCACAAAGGTGAATAGTGCCATGGAGGACTGGGTTCCAGGTGGCTCCAGATGGGGGTTAAGAAATACCCCCAACTTCAAAGTAATTGTTTATTTTAACTTGTCTAGCATAGGCATAACTATTACTCCAAGCTAATTTACTATTCCATATAGTAAATATGATTTCAGATAAGAGTTATTTAACCTTGTTAGTGCCGGTATTTCCTCAGAGTTAATTAGGAAAGCTATTAAAATAAGAAAAAGAAGGGGCTTCTCTGGTGGTACAGGGGTTAAAGTCTCCTCACTATCAAGCTATCACCAGGGAGCCAACTACATGGTGTAGCAGACCTTTCTGTCTCACCCACTGCTTCCCTCAGCAGTGTATTTCAGTAGATCTGCCTGTTCTGCTTCCCACTCTGTCTCTGGTGAATCCGCTCATCTCCACACCTCTGGCCTACAGCCTAGTTCTTGTATGTATAAATAAATAAATATTTTAAAAATAAATAAGAAAACTAACACATCAGAGAAAATATTTTAAAGAGTTGTATAGACAACAAAAGACTATAAGCTACCTATTCTAAGAAATTACAATAATCTTAGCTTTGTCACTTTATGGTAAACATGATTCAGGTATTTGTTGAGATTAGAATGTACTGTATATCCATTAAAACATTCTGTCCCCCAAATAACTAATTCTTACATTTCAAGAGTAATCTGTAACAAGTATGGTTAAACATGGTAGATACTAAGCTAATTCACCACACTTCAATGACATCTTCAGGTTACCTGCAAGGAGCTTTTATAACTCACATGTTTTTCCTACCACTTGACAGCCCTGCCAAAGTGGTTTTGTTGTGAATTTTTATTTATTTTTAAAGATTTGTTTAAACATACAAGAGTTAGGATATTGGCCAGAGGTGTAGGTAGTGAGAGGATTTACCAGACATAGGCTGAGGTGCAGAACAAGCAGATCTATTGAAATGCACTGCGGAGGGGAGCAGCAGGCAGGTCAGGGGTGGCCTGGGGATTGAAATTGTGCTACAGTGGTTGTGGACAGCTTCATAGTGCTGCGGGGCCCTGTTGTGAATTTTTAGATTTAGTATTTTGGAAAGGTAACAGTGCTTTCCAAATATACTATAAGTAACAGTTTAAACTTCACCAATATGTGGAAAATCATATGTTCGCTACATTAATAAAAGTAGCTTTACTAAAAATAGCTAGCTGGGTTCCAAATATAGTGAAACAGTTTGATGACCCAGAACAACTTTACGTTATTAATTGACTGGGGAAAATTGAAGTTGCCTATAGAAATAAAGTACTTTAACTATGAAGTAGTGTCAATTTGATATATCTGGGGATTTTTTTAAGAAGACATACAAGAAAGAGACAAAAAAGAAACTATTTTGTTTAGCTACTGGGATAGAGCCAAATCCTAAAAAGACACAAAGAGACAGCAATATGTAATGATTCTTTCTTCCAGTTTATGAGAGTTTAATTGAGAAAGAACTTATAGAAGCAGAGAAGCAAAGCATTTAATCTGTTAAACTCATGAGCATGAACTGGTTTAAAAGGCCTAAGATGAAAGTGGAAGACTGTTTTTAATAAGAGACTATTTTAAAATACTGCCTACTCATATGTACAATGGAATATTACTCAGCAACCAAAAAAGAGAAACACATGTCTTTTGCAGCAACTTGGATGGAGCTGGAAAAGATCATGCTTAGTGAGATAAGCCAGAAAGAGAAAGAAAAATACTGGATGGTTTCACTCATAGCAGGAGTACAATGGACCAGGTGAGAAAATAACAAGAATAATGAACAGCCATATACCAGAGACATTTTGTGGGGGTGGAGTGGGGAATGGGATCAAAAATGGGGGTGGGATGGGGAGTGCACGGGATTATGGTGATGGCACATGGGTGACTTGGTGATGGGACATCTGCGGGAATTACAATTGAGATGAAAAAAAAAATGTACAAAATGATGTAAAAATAAACATAAAAAAAAATACTGCCTACTATTGATTATAATTGTGTTGGAAGGCACAGTTTTTCTTCATGGAAGAAACAAATACCAGCAACACAATTCATCATAAAATATAAATCCAAGATCAACACAATGACATTGTAAGCTATGATATGGCCAACTATACAAATATTTACTCAACAAATTGTTGTTCTACCCCTCAGAGTCAAACTGTTTGTGTTTAGAAAAGTTAAAGAGTAATTCTTCTGATAGTTTTAAACGGCTCTTGGGCATGTATAAATACACCCTGTTCTATGTTAGCCTGTCTTTTTTGACCATTTACATTGGAGTATATAAGGGGTTCAGAGATATGAAGAGTTGAATGAATATATAAAGTTCATAGAAGGCAGAGACATTTAACCTAATTAGCAAAAAGATAGGCCTATCTCTTATTCTTTTTTGGAAGTAGTTCTATGTTGATATACTGCATACTACAAAAACAAAAAATATATCGACAACACCGCTGGTTGAACCACCATGAACCAACTATGAATTACTACCACCAAATCATATCATCAAATCAGTCTGCCACCATAGATAGTCCTTTCCTTGTTTAAGCAAGATGAACTCTTCCAATCTAGTGGTAATAAATAAAAGAAAGGAGATCTCAATTTTAAAACTAAAAGAAGGTTGTCAACTAAAGCTCTGAGATAGTAAAATAATAAATCTTCAAGTAGATAAAAATGCTTTTCAGGGCCCTCCCTGGTGGTGCACGGTTTAAAGCATAGCACTATGAAGCTAACACAGCCATTGTTTTTTCAATTACCAAAAAAGGAAGCTTGCCAATAACCTAGTGAAGATGTTGTGTCTCCTGTGTAGGCAGAAAGGACCACCAGGTGAAAGCACATCCAGACTGGAGTTACTTACATGAATACCTGCAGCCCACAGAGAGAGTTGGCTTTATCTTTCTAATTCTACATCTTGTTTTTTTTTTTTTTAAAGATATATTTATTTATGCATACAGAACTGGGGTACAGGCCAGAGGTGCAGGGGTAGTGAGAGGACTCACCAGAGACAGAGTGGGGCACAGAACAGGTAGATCAACAAAGAACACTGCAAAGGGGAACAGCGGACGGGTCAAGAGAGATCTGCCACGCCATGTGGGTCACCTCCCAGGTTAGGACTGAACTCGTGAAGTGACTGTGGCTAGCTTCATAGTGCTGTGATTTAACCCACCGCGCTACCAGGGAGGGCCCTTACTTTGGTATTTATTAGCTAAAGTATGCAATGCTTTGCTTGTGATTGCAAGAACCTCCTCTACTTTTCCCTATTTTGCTTTGTATATACATGTCATTAATAGGAAAAAAATATGCAAGAAAAACCCAAGAAAGAAAACAGGTAAGATTAAATGCATTCTGGCTCGATGATCCCTTTGAAGGGCATAAGAAAGAACTCAACATTGTGAAGGGCCTACAACAGGTTAACACCATATTAGGTACTTTTCTATGTTTCCTTGATTATACTTAGGGTAAATGCTATTTTTGTCTGTGTTAATGCCAAACCTGAAAATGCTCAATTTTTAAAAGGCAAGCTTTTCGAGGCCAAGTTTTTAAAAATCACTTCATATTAGACTGAAAGATAATATCAAGCAAGAATAAGAGTGGATAGTGAGTTCATCCCAGATTCCCAAGGCCAGGATTTGACAGATATATATATGAATTCACTGTAGCAGTGAAGATCATCTGTTAAGACCAATAGGTTTTCTCAGTGAAACTGAGTACAAAATATGGTTCCTAACATTGTTTCATTATGAATTATTCACAACATTTAGAATGAAGCAGATGTAAACATGAAAAAAATGCAATTTAAACAATTTGATACTCCAAATATACAGCACAATGTAATACTGCAGGAAAACTAGACAGCAAAGTTAAGGCACATTAATTTTAAAATGGGATCAAATGAAACTATAATGTCTATTAAAGGAAGTAATGTTCCCTACCTCGATTTGCCTTGAAACTTTCTTTTGTTTTAATTTTTATTATATTTTTGATTTTTTATTGCATCATTCTTCATTTTGTGCATTTTTCCATCTCAATTGTAATCCCCATGGGCCCCCCACCACCAATTCACCCATGTGCCATCATCACAGTCCAGTTCCCACCCCAGTTCCGATCCCATTCCCTCTCTCACCCCCATAAAATGTTTCCGATTTGCCTTGAAACTTTCAATGGGGTTATGTCACATTTATCTGGAATTTCTAGAGGAACAGAAAGTACTTTATAACCAAATGGGTTTTTTTTTAATAACTGAAGTTTATTAAAACCAAATCAAACATTTATTGTGGAATACTATTATCTCTGTGTGTGTGTGAGACCAATGCCTTTACACGATGTTTTCAAAAGGACTCAAATTTATGATAGATAGCTTATTATATAGGGCTCATTATATACCAATTTTTATCCATCTTTTCTCCATTTTCCATCAGCTCTATGAACCACTGTAAAATGCAACAAGCCTCTTAAGAGCTCTCCCAAGAGCAAATGTAGGTCTTTTGTACTGGGCTATATCACAGGTATCCGAGGTACTTTGTGAGTTACCCAGGCATTTTTTTCCAACTCAGTTCAGGATAAACATTTTGGATTTGGGAAGCCTGAAGAAACTGGAAGACTGGTCTTCGGTTATATGTGGGATTACTGAATTTGTTAGCATACTTTTATGGAAACTAAATCTAGTTGTTCTTTCATTTTCTGTGTAATTTATCAGGTTTGATCCATCAGTAAATCTTTCCAAGCGATTAGAAAGTTTATCTTTCCTATATAGTATTAGAGCACCACCTTGTGTCCAAAATCTGAGCAAATTAGCAGAAATTGTTTTTAAGTACCTTAGTTGTCCAAAGTTTTACTGTCCAGTCAAATGATGAAGTGACAAAAAGATGGGAGAAGTCCACTGCTCCAACAGCTGCATGACAATGGATTCCAGTGATTGGTCCCTGGTGCCCCTCAAACATCTCACTGATTCCAGCTTTGCTATTTCATAAAAGTGAAAATATTAGGGAAATCTCTTATAAATAGGCTGCTTGTTATGGGCTTATATATCATCTTTTAACATAATTTTAACAAACTTAACTCTGTGCTAGTAACATATCAGAGTACCTTATGTTGATTGTTACGCTAAAGCTTTAAGAACATTTTTGAACTATAAACACTCAATAGCTGTTGACAACAGAACTCAAAAGTCCACTATCTGTGGTGGTGGAATGGAGACAAAGGGTCACTATGTAGGGGAGAAAATATGGGCTACTTTTAAATTGAAAGCTTCTAAGTAAAGGTGATCTGTATTTGAGATGAAATCTGGACACTCAATTTTTTTTTTTTTTCTCTCAAGGGAACAACTGATAAGGTACAGCTAGACAATTTCAAAACAAATTGAACAGAAGGAGAAATACTAGTCAATTTAATATATGTATGTGACATTACTGTACAATTATTGGGAGAACTGAACTAAAGCTGAAAGTCTAAATAAAATCAGAATGGAAAAACTTATTTACAACTTTTAAGGTCAGCATAAAGCATGGGCATATATTTGTAACTGCTGAATGTTACTTCCTACCACTAACTTTTATGAGCACGTAGGCACACAGAAGATCACAATATAGTACAATCTATGAAATCAAGAATATATCATGGTTCAGAAAACCTTTCAAGAAAAATGTATTAATTTTAGATATGAATTCAATAATTTTACCACAAATAACAAGTAGCTCTAGGACAAAGACTTCTACCTAAATAAGGTAAATTTATTTTAATGAGATTATTTAGGGGATAATTTTTTAAAATGGCAAATTTCAGTTTACCTGCCGTGACGGCATGCTGTGTACACAGAACCTTCTTCACTCCCAACGACAAAGTTGTTAACATCTCCAACAGGGAAGGACATAGATGTCACAGCTACTGCCTTTGACTGTTTATGGACCAATTCCATACTATCCTAATTAAAAAATTGAGGAAATTATTTTGTGACTTGTAATTTTTAAAGAGAAATTTCTAGTTTTAATGTCTATTTTACATGTTAACAAACTTACTTTGATTAAATGAAGCAGGTTTAAAAATAAATATAGAGCAAACTATATTTATATATCTTTAAGTTTACAAATTGTTATCATAAAAGTTTATGATAAAAGTTTATGAAGAATACAAAATGGGGTTTATATAGACTGAAGTTTATAATACCCTTGGGTTTACAAAAAAATAACAATATTGCCTCAAAGTTTCAGTTTAACCTACCTGTGGATGGGAAAGCATATCCAGACTCCATGAACAAATTTTCCCATCAGTAGAGATGCTAATCAGGTTGTGAGCGTTTTGTGTTCCAACAACATTTACACAATATACAGGATGCTAAAGAAAGATATTTTAAGAAAGTTTTCAGGGATTATTTTACCAAAAATAATGAAACAATATTTACTATCTAGTCATAGAATTATCTGGTATTAAAATAGTTTCATATCTTGAGCATATTTTTAAATTGAAGTTTGATACTATTCTGTTGATTAGCAAAAGGCTGTCTAGAAGAGAAACGAATTACAACTGAAACAGATGAGTTTCTAATAAAACATATTTATAAAAATACAGAAAAAAAGGCCTTTGTTCTCAGTTGCTAAATGATGAGGAATTCATACATCAAAGAAAACACATTATAAGAATACCAAGTATTCTTGATGGACACCAAGTATTTAATGGTGGAGGACACCAAGTATTTAATGGTGAAGGAGTGCAAAAATCTCATGGAAAAAAATCTCTTTACTTACTGTGTGTGCAGCAGCTGACAGTGGAGTTCTTTGCACCGGAGTTCTTTTATTGCTACGGTTATCCCACAGCACAATTTGACCTGAATATGTACCACCAACAACCAGATTTGGATGAAATTTTGCAAATGTAGCAGACATCACAGCTGACTGCAAATAAGATTTTTACACTTAAGTTTCAAATGGAACAAGCCTGGTAAGTTATAAAAATAAATGTATTACCTAAAACATTTTCCCCCTTACTATAAGGTATTAGATGTTTTAGCAAAACAATAAATTCATTAAAAATTTTTTATTCTGTATCAGAATATGAAAATGTATCTTTAGACTAGTTTTTACTAAAAAGCCAAATGTAATGTTTGTTTACATAAATACATGTAAGCAATTTATTAAATAAAGAAAACAAAGATCATATCATTTGATTATAATACTAAACTAAAAGTGACTCTGCCTTAGCCTCTGACAGTAAACTGACAGCAAAATTTTGATTCAGTAAAACTTGTTTTTCAGAATGATATCATTAAAAGATTATAACATGCAATCAGAGAAGGTTTGCAAATTCTAGCCTTTCATTAAATCCACTTTAAAAATCTGCATCTGTTTTCTACTTCAAACACATGTTTTTACTTAAAACTATCTAGTTCTAACTCCTCAGGCCATATATAAGTAATTCAGTGGGCAAACCATCTAATTGTATATTCAGCAAATAAGTTTTTAAGAAATTCCCCATAGAATTTTATAAAAGATTCCATTTATACAATCAAACATAATGACAGAAAACCACAATTGCAAAGGACTTTAGGTGTGATTAAACATTATAAGAGATGTCAGAAAAGCTGCAAAAGGCAGCTCATGTTGAACTGAACAACCTTCAGTTTTCTGTTAACATCTGTTTGCAAATATGGGGTGGTTTAGTAAATGCCAATCCAATGAAATCATTATGTTGACAAGAAAAGAAAAAAAGGCACTCATCTAAATTCATTAATGAATTCTTAAGCTTGGGTAAGTCTGTTAAAAGATCATCTTACCTGGCAGTGAAATACATACTCTGGGGTAGTTTTTTTGTATTTCATATTCCATACAAGGGCCACACCATCAGGCTCATGAGGAGCATCTTCATTGTTATTGTACGAAGCCACAAGTAACTCTGGATACTTCGTGCAAGAGTCAAAGGCAAGGAGGGGTAGGATGTTATGAATAAGAACTGTTTTAAATTCCCAGGTACTCCAATGTTTTATCAAGTTATTCTGAATATGCAAATACCTAACACTTAAAGAGTTACACTTACTGAGATGCTAGCACTTTAAATTAGTAGTTGGTTATTTAATGTTAAAATATCTTATTAAAATGTCTTGTAATTTTATCCAAAGGAGTGGATAAGCAATTAGTGAACTAGATTGTGCCATAAATAAAATCTTGAGTTTTAAATGTTTCCAACCTTATCTTTCATAGTCCATAAGACAAAATGAGTATAACAGTAGAACCATCATCCATTATTTTAAACAACATATACTGATTTAACTATGCAACATTCCCACAATTAAGATAAAACTGCCTGCTAATTATAATTGAAAATGAGTTAACAGCAATCAATTTTGTTTTAACATACCTGAGATGACCAATCCAAACAACTAACAACCCGATGCTTTGACCAGCGTTCATCAAAAAATTGTCGATTTAATGATAGTTTAGCACCTGCTTGAATCTCTCTACAGAAAAAGACCAAATTAAAAAAAAAAAGATGTTATAACTTATCACTCTTAATTTTAAATTAACATTGCCGAAGCCATAATTTTAGCAATTAAAAATTACCCTTCTTTGTCTTCCAAATCTCTTCCACTGTAGTCAAAGAAGATGTTAATCTGCTCTGAAAGAGCTCTTTCTACAATTCTTGTAGAATGGTCAAAGAAACTCAAAAATTCCTCAGAATGCAAGATTTGTTGCTTTTCCTCTTCAGTCAGCTCGTGAGGGGGAGCTGAAAAAAATGTTTTTCTGAAGTCTGATTTATGTCAGTCAAATCATGTCAACTCACTATCACAGTCTGGATCAATGAATACCACACATTCTTTTTCAACCAGATTCATACTCATTGATTAGACCATTATGCTCTACTTTGATACATAAAAAAAAACCTTAAATAAATAAAAAAATGGAAAGAATCTATAGAAATCTACACAAGTTTTAAAAGTTAAGATACCTTTACTATCATTTTCTTCATCTTTCTTTAAAGTTTTTTCTTCCTCAGGTTCAGTAGGTGGTTTAGGTGCTACTACATCATCTTCTTCCTCTTCATCTGAAAAAAGAGAAAAATAAAATATTTTATAAAAATAACTGATAACTTCTGAGGTAATATTTCAGAAGGTATCACAACTCTCCAAATAAAAGTAAAAGTAAGTCACCAATAAAACAATTAAGTTTAAATAATATGAATTTTACCAACATAATTTTAAAGGAAAAATTTAAGTGAGATCTTTCTATATACACATACGTAATATCTTATCAATAGTCACACCAAATTTTGTAGTTACATAAACTGAAATAAGATACATAAGCAACTAAGATGAATACTTCATGAAGTCTCTAAAAGCTTGCAGGCATTTATCATTCCAGACAGAACAACATGCAACTCCTGCATAGTTTTATGTAGCATGCTGACACATTAATGCTGTAGAATGAAGAAAATCAAATGTCTAAAATAGCCTACAGAGCTGGCTGCTTACTTATGATCTGAAACCATCAGTGTCTAATGGGTCTTCATATGGCATAAAGACGGCTTACATTAACTCTCAGGTTGCTATTTGAGAGGCAGATTTTAAAGATAATAGCTATGAGACTACATTTTCTATTCTGTCATTTTAAATGCAAGTCTCATTATCTACCGTTGTATGATGTGGCAATAAGTACTTAAAATAATGTTTTCTTAACTTGAATAAAGATATATATTGAAGTAATATACAGTTTCTATAAGCCATTTTTATTACTAAATGTCCTCTTACATCTTCAAGACAGAAGATAAAAAAATCACTTACTTTAAAATGTTACAGAACATACAACCCAGCTACTTTCACTTTCACTACACACTGAGATAGATTTTTATGACAAAAATGTTTATTTTTATTGCCTAAACAGATGTGTCATTTGTCTACAGGGAATGGCAGCAGGCATCTGCAGCAGAGTGCATCTCAAGTATTAAGAACCTATTCAATACGGAGACTTTACTTGTTAGTTATAGTCATTTTCCTGACCTATATTCAAAATTATCTGAAACACGCATACGTATGATGTACACAAAAGAATGGTCAAGGATGGGAACCAGCTGCCAAGTCATGGTCCCAGCAGCCAGGCCAGCTGAGTAGATAGCAACAACCAGATGGCACTGCTGGGATTGTATCTTTCTGCTACAAGGTGGCAATGGGATGGCATAACATTCTTCCGCTTGGCTGCTTCCAATCCTCTCTCTCCCCAATGTCGAGCCTGTGCAATTACCCGCACTACAGGAGGCCTACAGATAAGCCTTTACCCTGCAAACAAAATGCAGCTTGTAGGCCACACCAGCTGCCAAACCACACACATAGTGTTAGATTTGGAGAGCTATGAAAATCTTTCTAACTCTATAGTATAAGCAATAAAAATATAACTGTACCTGTAGGAAAGAAAGCTTTAAATGACACTGTATAATGCACACAATGATACAACCTCCAACTTAATCAAAATGATAATGACGTATGCCAATCCTACATTACTTGAAATTGAGCGATTTTTACGTTCTGACAAGTTTACAGAACTAGGATAAATGGCACGAATGATTTCAATATATGCTCATACTTTTGAACCAAATGGTGAAGGTTAAAATTTTTCCTTTCAAGGGCCTCAATCAGCCACAAAGGAAAACAGTAATCACTGTCTTTTCAGCCAGCCCAACTGCATTTGTCAGCCCTTTCTCCGTCAATGCAGCCAGAGCAATCAACCTGCCAAACATTCAGAATGGAAAAACAATCTGAAAATACAGGGTATAATGCACCTGCCAGTGAAAATGGCCATTTCAAGAAAAGCTAGTGATCTCAGTGACCCCGCTGAGGAGGCGGTAGTGCAAAGGGGAAAGAACACGTAAAAGAATTCTTAGTGATCGCCACTCTCTTGCACATTGACACTTCCTTACAAAGCATGCCAATTACAGCTTTTGTGCTACTTAAAAAAATGAAAGCTGGGGGGGGGCAAAATAATCACACAGATAAAAAGGACAGTACTCCTTTATAGATGATTCTCATATACAACAGATTATTAATCTGAAAACAATATAACTAGTAACAATTCCCATCAGTACTGCTCAAAGATCACAATGAAATATTGCCATAAGTCACCTGCAGGTAAAACATAATATAATTACACTTAACTTAAAATTAAAAGTTAAGTTTTTAAAATAATAGGATATTTACTTCAGTTAAAAATTATGTCCAAGAATAGATATATTTCCATTCTCTGCTAACACTATTAGATACCCTAATCAGTTTTACTAGTAGGGTTTACTATGTATATCTCAAATTCAAAGACAGGGATTTTTTGTCACCCTGGACAGGTCATCTTGAGCACTGTGAATTATAAATTACAGCCTCCACCCACATCATATTCTCCTCCCTCAGCTTTGTTGCATTATACGGCTTCTAAGTACCATTTCCAATGACAGATGTCAAATTCCTGTCATAATGCATATGGTCAGTATTTGAGTGCTAAGTGACCTCATAATCTACATATTTAACAGGAAAGATCTTGTTTACACACACTCTTTCCTGTTTAAAAATTAAAATGTCGATGAAGTATGTTAGGTAGTGATCTATAACTGCCTACATTATGGTATTTGCTACATTTGTCCATAGAGATTACTTTAGTTGGAGCTTAAAGACCATGTTTTTAAATACATGTTTTTAGGGTTTTATTTTTGAATGAATGTACATATTTCCCTTTATTAGTAAAAACTGAAAACTAATTTTAAAATCATGATAGGTACTTAGGCCCAAGCATCATAAAAAAGAGCAAGCTAAATAAAATTTAAAGGAATTATGCAAACAATATTTTTTATTATAAAGCTAGTCTGAAGTAGTTTCCTTATATATATTATATAAGACAAATATGTCTAGCATCAGTAATAGCAGGTTAGAGAATATTTTTCCCAAAGATGTCTTATTATAAACTAATATGACCTACTAAAGGACTATTAACATAACCAAAAATATAGTATCACAATTATATTTTTTAAGCTCATCCCTATTATATGGTAAGCTATAATATATTTAAAATTGAACAAAACTGCAACAGAACAGGAAGGCTGAAAAATGGGACTGCCATGTCACATCAATTTTTTGATGAATATTCATTGCAGTATGCTAAGTGGTTAACTCCATGCTTTCTTTGACAGTGAATCTAAGGTTATAAACTGAGCTGTAAAGAATGCATAAAAGTAGCAGTTACTTTTAAAATGACAAATCTCTTGTCAATGAGTGTTAACACTAGGTTTAATGAACCATTGAATTTTTACTTTGCGTTAACATCAAAATTGTGATGTATTTTGGTGAAATGGAAAGAAAAGATGTTGTGTAAATTAAGCTGCACCTAGAAATAACACCAAAGAATGAAATTCCAGTTGTTGGAATAATTTGTTACAAAGGAGTAGGTTAATCAAAGTTAAATCATCTGTGAAATGGGTGGCTTTTGTTAAGCTGAGAAAGGCGTCTTCAGAACAAGTTTTCTCATCTGTATGTCATATTACATTTAAGAGACATCTAAGAATAAGCCACAAAATATACTTTAAGTTATTTTAAAACATTATAACATATTTAAAAGGTATATAAGAGCTTAGAAAATCCTTACTAAACACTGATAGTTTTTAATCTATCACCTATCATCACTAATTCTCAATACAAAGGGAAAAACAAATCCTACTATTAGAGCATTAATGTTGCTTAGAAAATACATTTGTTGTCTATAAATTTATTTGCAGTTTAATTATTCTGGTGCATCTGTTTTAACATACTATAAAGTACTCCTAGTTTACAAAGTAGAATGACTATTCATGGTATAAAGAAGTTTCTACTGAGTTTGAAAAATAAAGAAATTTGCTACATGTAAAAATATGATTTAACCTACAAAAATTCAATTAATGAATAAATTCATAACATTATGAATATATGAATATTAGAGGAAAATGCCCCATTATTTTAACAATACAGGCTACATATGAATGATTTTCAAAAATAACTCTTTTCTGAATCAACATCATTTTGAATCACTTCCTTTCAATCTACTGCCTTTAATTTCATCTTCCTACAACTTAAACTTTAAACTCAGTATTGAGAATCTAACGCAGGAACAAATCTTCATGAGTCTATTCAATAAAACCCACTTATTTTCTTGTAAACAGCTAGAATAATATGTAAAGTAAGTTGAATTTCCTTAATATTTTAGCCCTTCAACAAGGGAAAGTATATACAAAATTTTTATTCAAGAAATATTTTGAATATAGGTCTAAAGTTAATCTGCGAAAAAAAATAAAAAAGGAGTAATACTTTAATGATCCCATTTATTTTATCAGAGAGTTTGTCTTTTTACATGGTCTCTTTTTTTTTTTAAGATTTATTTATTTATGCATATAGAACTGGGGTACAGGCCAGAGGTGCAGGGGGGTGAGAGGAGTCACCAGAAAGAGTGTGGGAAGCAGAACAGGCAGATGTACGGAAGTACACTGCTGAGGGGTGCAGCCAGACAGGAGAGGTCTGCTGAGCCATGCTGATCACCTCCTTAGCCAGAGATTGAATTCACAACAAAGTGGCTGGAACCAGCTTGCAGTACTGCATCCTAACCCAGTGCACCACCAGGGAGAGCCTCTACAAGGTCTTTTTTCTATGAAATTCAGATTTTATTTAGGCAGTATTGGCATAATTTACATAGGCCCTGCTATCTATGCTCTCATAAATATTATGCTTTTCTAAGTCAGTAATTTTAGATATGCTGAAGTCTTTCAGTCAAGAAAAATACAAATGCTTCAATTTTAAATTATATTTATATTCTCACAGATTCTCTGAGGATTAAACCTAGTTTGTTTAATGTGTTATTTATTCCAGAATTTTAAAAAAATCCATTTTAGACAAAAGTAGTTATTAACTAGAAAGCCCACAAATTTAGTATACTTATTAAGATCATGCAATAAAAAAATTGAGATATTTAATACAATACTTTTCTACATATTAGAAATGCTAATCAACATGTATTTGAGGAAATACATTTGGCTACTAAGCCAGTATCAAAATATTTACAAAACTCCACAAAAAGTGGAATGGCATAAAGAATATAGAATTTCATTGGAAATCAAAAGCCAGATTCTTTTTGTAGCCCCAATATTTTCTTAAAATTGTTACCACAATTCCTCAGTTAACTTCCCTGGCTTTAGTAGCCTCATGTATAAACAAGCTGATTAGATTAAATAACCTTTAAAAATCTGTTTTTAAAAATAGCAAAGTTAAAAACTTTTACAAGATAAAAGAAGGAAGTAGCTTTTCCAGGAGTGTATGTGTGGGCACTGTGATCCTGCCAAGAGATGCTTTTACCTGCAGAGAGTGAAATTGACTCAGATCACATGGTCCTAGTCAATTTCATTCACAGTAGGTGCTTTAAGACAGCAAAGCACCTCAGTTCAGAAACAGTAGTACCAACTTACAGAGTAAACTTGAAAGTGAGAAGATGACCAGAATGGGGGAAAAGAAAAAGAAGGCAGAATAAAAACATCTGCTTTTCAAAGAACAGGTTCAGCCATTTTAAAAAAATGGAAGAGCTAATTCAAAAATCAATTTTTATCTTCACTTTGGCAACCTACATTACTTCTACACTGGTTACACTGCCTACCAAAGTTTAATTTATTGTCCATTACACTCAAATTGTGATTTCAGCAATTTTGTCTCATGGTGCGTTTTGGAATTTGTTACATAATTCTTAAATGCGAGTCACAGTGGCTAAGCTTGAGGACCACTGTATTAAAGCAACAGTAAGTACAAATACAGTTAGGCACAAAGTACTTTTTCATTGTAAGAACTTAATTTGAGGGATTTTTCCCTGTCTTTCTAAAACTTTCACAAATTGGGAAAAGAAACTTAATGTAAGAGCCCTACACATGAAAATAATTGGTAAGTGCTATAGGAAGGAAATGATATAATATTCATAAATCATTCCAAAGACTAAAGATGGCTCTATGGTTAGGGAGATCAAAGCTGCTTATTCATTACTTCTAGACAATCAATACAAAACTGTATTATCCTAATGCAGAGAGATTTTAAAATAAAATAGAGTAAGAGAAGGAAAGGTGCTAGTCCAAAAAATTATTTCAGTTATACATCCGTATCTATGTTTGTATGTGACTGATAAATGGAATGTCTTATAACAGATTGCTATTATAAAAGCATGAAAGTGCTGCACCAGTGACAATGTGCAACTTTAGAAAGCATGCCTTGGAATCAATCAGATTTGTTTTAGAATCTTAGCTACTAGCTGTTACCCTCTATAAATTATCTCTTTCATCTTCAGCTTTCAAATGTATAAATTAAACCAAGATATAACTCTCAGAGTTTTGGTGAGAGGATTAGACATAATGTAAATTGCACTCTATGCTGTAAAATTTTCAGTCATCAATTCAAACATAAAGTTCAGAAAACTGTTAACAAACTAATAGCTAAAATAACACATTTGAAAGATGCTAAGAGAATCAATTTTGTTCATAGCATTCAGAGGGATACAAGAACACAAAATAATAACACATTTTTGTTATCTACATGGCATGGGATTCAGGAAGGCTATAAAGGATACTCTATATAATGGTTTAATTTCCAGACATAAGAGGAAACAATGATTAGAATATGATATAGTAATATTAACTTAAAGAATTAGATCTATGTATAACTTTCCACCAAATTTCATCAATAGCTATGTTGTAACATTAATACTTAAAATAGTATCTCACTAGTTACTCTCAGAGTAAAGAATGAAAACAAGCATCCCAAATGAGTTACATTCTCCTTAGAATGTAACAACAATTAATTATTTCACCAAATATTTACTATTCAGGCCAGATATTACATAAGTGAAGAAAAAATAGCACAATGATGCCAAGAAATTTGCCCCAAATAATTCCAAACACAGTGTATCTTTACCTTTGGGTCATCAGTTTATCTTTAAAAAATTTTAATTACATGTAAAATAAAAGTGGAGAAAAGAATTTTGGTGACATGTTACACAGTCATATACAGCTGTATATTTAAATTAATTCAAAGGCAGTAAGTTAACATGCCCACATTTTAAAAATGGGTACACCTCTCAGAAATAAGTAATTAAAATGCAAATTTCAAATGGGATATAAGCCATAATGTGTGGATGTGTATATATACACACACACAAACATGCACATACATACATAGACATTTTGGAAAAAAATATAGAAATCTGACTAGGAACAAAATATTAACCTAATATGATTATTACACAGTGGTATCAGACATTTCCTCTTAAAATCTTTTCTGTATTTTCAAAATTCTCTATGATAGAATAATATAATAATTAGAAAATTTATTTTTAAAATGAAAGTCTTCACAAACTGAATATAATTATAGTATAGATATATTATAATAGGTATCAACCAAAACAGCTTCGTATTATTCTGTATCACAAATAATTCAAGATACAATCCATAAGTATGGTGGTATAACTAAAAACAATCTCCAACTTATTAAGAAAAGAAAGCTTAATTTATTTTTTAAGTGAGTCATTGTACCTCATTTTTGCTATTTTGTTCACTTTCTGAGTGGACTATATTTAATAATATACTTTCAAAAAGACACATTATAGTACTGAATTAATATACTAATTAATAAGTAAAATTTCCTGGAAATTTTAGAATTTCGTATTCTCTATAACGATAATTCAATATATTTTTCCTTCTTAAGTTGCCTATATCTCAAACACATTTACCATCAGTGACTTCTGGTAAGATGTGGGTTTTACATCTGTGAAAGCTATTTTATCAGTCAATGGGACAGCAGGGATAAAAAGAACGCATCCATAGATCAAAGTCAAAAAAGAGTTTTTTATTAAAAATGTTACCCTAAGATCCTCAAACATTTCTAAGTGTAATTGTATGAATAAGAATGTCTGTTCCAGGCCCTCCCTGGTGGCACAGCAGGTTAAAGCACAATACTAAGAAGCTAAAGCCACTTCAGTATGAATTCAATCCCCACCCTGGAGGTGACCCACATGGCATGGCAGACCTCTCCTGACCTGCCCGCTGTTCCTCTCAGCAGTGTACTTCATTGATCTGCCTGTTCTGCTCCCCACTATGTCTCTGGTGAATCTTTCCACCGCACCTGTGCCTCTGGCCTGTACCCCCAGTTCTGTATGCATACATAAATATATCTTTAAAAAATAAAAGAATGTCTGTTCCTTGTGGAAACAAGATAAAAGTCAAAGAAAAGGTTTAATGTATTTAATTAATTTCTATCCTTAGTGGGCAGGTAAAGTATGATCTACACGTCAAAAAAGGTGGTAAACAGATGTAATTCTAATTTCCTTTTGAAGTATACATAAACATGGAATTTGAAGTAGGGATCTTAAAGGTTATTGCCCTTTTTGCTTATCTATATTTTCTGTACTTCTGTAATGAATATTACTTTTGCTTCTCCTTAATGGAAAAAGGAGATGACTTACTGAAAATTTAAAAATAAATCGAACATTTTATAAATAAAAAATGTTTATTGCTATTCTACAATTAAATAGGAATAAGTTTTCCTAGCTAAGGTGAAAATGTTCCTTATACATAACTTACTATGGGTTTACAATTCCAAAATAAAGACAGCTTTAAAATCCATAATTCATTGGAGGCAAAACACTGATATGACCAGAGATAAAGCTATTTATAATTATTTATCACACTTAGCTTGAACATTAATTACTTCTGCTGCCACAATTTTAATGCCTAAGATGCTGCTGCAGTATTTACATATGGTATATGACTTTACTAGTTTTCTAAAATCTGAAAATTCTGAATTCTAATACATTTGGCCATAAATTTCAGATAAGAAACAGTGGATCTGTATTAGGGAATCATATGTAAACCTCTTTTATCTGAGATAAATTTATTAACATCAAAGGGATAGACAAAAATTATCATATTAATTTTATGCTAAAGCATTAGCTGTCTAGTGAGATTTTAAAAATTAGGCCTCAATGTAAAAATGGTAATTCTTTTTTATTTATTTAAGAACCAAAGGACTCCATATTCAAAATAATGTCTGTATGTATTCCTCTTCATTACACACTGAATACAAAGGCTGTTATATAATTAACATAGTGGAGCCCTGAACTTAAATTAAAAAAGAAAAAAAGTTAAAAAGAGGAAGTTTTAAGAATTAAGTCTAAATTTGCACATTAACATTCATAATAATGTGAGCATATCAGAATAAGATACACTCTACAGAAAATAAGTTAGAGCCAGTCCCCTTTTATCTATGGTGAAATATGTTCAAAGATCCCTAGGAGACACTTGAAGCCACAGGTAACAATGTACCTTATATATATGTTTTTTTCCTCTAATACATACCTATTACATAGTTTAATTATAAATTAGGCATAATGAAATGAACAACAGTAAAATAGAACAACTACAACAATATACTATAAAGTTATATGACTATGATCTCTCTCTTTTAATATAACTCACGTATATGTTCTGGGACTATGGTTGACCATGGGTAACTGAAACCATCATAGTGAAACTGTTAAAAGGGTAGATTACTGTATATGACTTCAGTTACTATGGAATACACAGTCTCTTGGGGAAGAATTAGGCTCAATGAAAGAGAAACAGAACATTCCTAAGTATTTCTGCATGTACTGACAATAACTTAAGATTATGTTAACAAAATTAAAAAATCTACCTATAGTTCATACTTTTATGAACTTCTAAAAGAAGAAGTTTTAAAACTCTAAAAATATATAAATATGGAAATCATAAAACATCAGTTTTATAACGTTTGCCCAAGATGCGAAAACACATTAACAAAAAGGGAAGAAAAAAAGGAAAGAATTAATTTATTCTATGTGAGTTTAATGACAGTTATATTAAGAATATATATTTACCTTCTTTGGGTTGAGCCATAACTGGAGTTTGTGTTTCCTTTGTATATGTGACGATTTCTCGAGGAGGAAAGTCAACTTGGGTAATTTTGGCCATTCCAAGTTTAATAGGTCCTCGTCTAAATAAAATGAACACAAATGTTTTAAATAAAACGAATGATACATTTCAACTACATCAAAACAGTTATTTTGGAAAAGTATGAATTAAACATTCTATATATTTTAATTTAAGTCCCTGTTTTAGTCAAGAAATTTTATATAAACAATGAATTGATTTTAATAAAAGGTTAATTAGAAGGAGGCCAAAACAAAACATTTCCAAATTATTCAAGGTGTTTAATTTTCACTTTAAAAAGATAAATAATTTGGTGTCTCAGAGCAAATGCATGGGTAACAACAGAGTAAGAGGGCAGGAATTTCATAGTGGTCTATTGAATGTGGCTGGTTAGAGGAACACTTGAGTTCAACTTTTTTTTGTCAGATATATAAATATCACTCAAACGATGTTTAATTCCCTTCACCATTACGAGACTTCAGTTTTAAGATTGAAAAGTTGGAAACCATTTTTTCTAATTCTGTTAGAGAAACTGAGAATCATGTAGTCACTTGATTCTAAATGAAAATAGTCAATATATTCAATCTCTAGTTTCTGTATCCTTCATTCACATATGGACAAAGTAAGGTGCAGATATTTTACACCTACACTAAAGCAATGTATCCTTTGGATGTCACAAAACTATTGAGGTCACTTGTAATTTAAATAAAAGAAACTAATTTTTGATAAACACAGTGTGATGTTGTTGAAGAAAAAAAAATAATTAAATCTCTGGGGGGACTTTTCCTACTTATTATATTGCATGCTTAAATTCTAAACCAAATAATACTTCCAAACTCCCAAAGAAAGACCCAATTATGAAGCTGTCTTAAAGGGATATCTAATAAAAAACATGGCTATCACTTCCAAAATATCAAACAGGATATCTAAAAAATATGTATGTGGACATATATACAATTGGTAATATAGCTTTTTTCTTATATAAATACCCTCCTCAAAGTCCTGCATTAAAAAAGTTTAATAAAATTAATACATTAAAAAATTCATTTTCTTTAAAGGTCCTAAATGTGGGCCAACAGGAAATTTTTTGTGTTTTCTACTTTAGGGATATCTCAATTTTAAAGACAAAAAAAGATAATGAAAGAATTGGAACATTTAAGTTCATCTGAAACAATCTAGCATTCTAAAGATAAAATGTGAAACAACAAACTTTACATTCTGACTTTTAAGATGCAAGCCATATGAAAAAATCACATATCTGGAAAAAAGAGTCAACATAAGGAACAAGCTACTGACTTAAGTGTGTAAAGGTTTTAATAGATAACATTCAAAATATTAGAGTAAACAAACAGAATATTTTAAGATTTAAGAGCAGGAGGTAGGATGATACCTCACTTATCCAAAAGCCACTTTTACTAAAAATAGAAAAAAACTGGGGTGGAAGGAGCCTCAGAAGCCCAAAGTGAGGCCTTCCTGTTAATATACAAGAAGCTTATATACTTTCTTATATGCTATAATTCCAGATTCATTTACTCTTTCTGTAGACATGACTTCAAAAAGTCACATATTTTAGAAGCTACAAATTAACAAGGGCAAAGAGCTATGTGATTTAGGCACAATGGCAGCAACATTTATAATTTACACTGGAGAATATATCGGAGTATATGAATGAGAGAGTAAGTTAATAAATAAGACAATAACAATTCAGGGCCATGGTTGTGGACACCAATAGCTCTGTTTTTCTCAAAATATTAGGACTTATCGGTAAATTTTAATATAGTGAGACAATCCAGAAAAGATTCAACTATCTGTAGAAAATGGATGAGAAAAAGTCTGGGTAGAATGTAATATATTTAGGAGATAGTACATAAAAAATAGAGAATAAAAGGAATTAGGAATAAAGTTTTAATGGGCAGACTTAGAATACCTTGAAAATCAAATGTTTATTTCTTTAGCTAATGATAAGAGGATAAATGAGGTGTCACAGTAAAATGTAACTTTTTTTCTAATTATACATTGCATATTAGAAATTTAAACAAAATAAAATTAGGACAGTTTCACAAAGAATTAAATTAATTATAGAAGAGGGAAGGTAATAAATCTATTCAATACCCCAAATCGGAATCTGAGTGAAGCTGAAGAACTGATGGATCTGTATCCCAATGCAGCGTCCTAAATGGTTGTAGGACAACCATGAAGCATTAGCAAAAAAGGCCAGAAGTTAGTCAAGCAAATACATTCTATAAATAGTTAAAGCTAAAGTACTGTCCACTATTAAAAACCCCATGTCCTGGTTAGTATGAAAAATAAAACAACCACCAATTATCACGCAATGCTCTAGTGCATGCAATAAGCACAATATGGTTAAAGATGCAAACATACATCCCATAATAGTTAGATGATACTATTTTGAAATTATAGGAAACTAATAATGCATAAGGATAAGAACCAACGAGAAGAGCCAACAATCCAAATAATACATTATTTTGGGCAGATAACCAGTTAAGTTACAAAAAGTTAAAAATTTTAAGTTTCCTAATGGATAAAATTAATGGATAAAATTAGTGAATTAATTTAATAATCTTGGTTAGCATATTAAAACCGACCAAAGCATTAAACATGTACAGGAAATTGTCATACTGGTAAAGGAAATGAATCAACACATAAGCCTTTTGGTAAGAAAACCAAAGGCTATTCCACTGGGATACTAAACAGCTAAAGCTACCCAAAATGTGACCTTAATGGGTTAAGCACTGTGTTGGATTTACATGTCATCTGCTTTAGAATGCAACTAAAGATTTCTGTCTCTAAGGAAAAAAAAAATTTTCTCAGTAAAAATATTTTTATGTTCAAAGAATTTACCTAAACTAACTCAACTTTTGGAGAACATCAATCCTAAATAAATATTCAGTTGTGTTTTAGTCTTGCCTATCAGGTAAATCACTAATGAGAGATCTTACCCACCTAAGCCAAAATTAGTAATTCTCAGAATGCATTGACCACAATGCCACTGGCATTTTTAGGTTAGCAATCTATACAATATCGCACGATGCTCACAGTCCCTATTAAAGAGTTAAGTAGGGGTCTTCCTTGGTGGTCTACAAGTTAAGGCTCAGTGCTATCACCACTACAGCAGGCCTGAGTATGACCCCTGGCCAGGGAGTGAACCCATACATGGCCTCTCCTGTCTTGCCCACTGCTCCCATTAGCAGTGTAGTTCAGTAAATCTGCTTGCTCTGCTCCCCACTCTATCTCTGGTTAATCCTCTTACTCCTACACCTCTGGTTTATACTCTAGTTTTTCTATGAAAAAAAAATAATAATAAAAAGTTAACCAGAATACATTTATTTGCTACCATTTTTTGGTCAAACATTTTTGTTTCTCATATAATGTAAAGTTAAAATATTATAATAATTTTATAACAAATGATTTTTTATATTTTGCTTACCTATGTATCAATAAAATAAGATTACTTAACTAGAGAACTTCCTCAGTTTAAAAATAGAGATGTGAGATTTAAACAGGACTACATACATGCAAATAAAATGGCCACAATGAGGATTTACTTTGTACTAAGCAATGATCAGCAACAGACCTAGATTTTGTTTGACCAGAATGGGTTCTAGAGATGCTCTAAAAAATGTTCTGTTGAAAGTCTTTACATTATAGGAGAGCTCCAGCTGTTATCAATGACATAACACAGAACTTGTTAAAAGTCATTTCAATCTAAAATCAAATAAGACTTTACTTCAAAAATAAAGCCAGCACTAAATGCACACTGCACAATATATGGGATTATTCTTACTGAAAGCATCTGCAGACATGTAAAGTAAAATTCTAGATAATACAAAAACCTGAGAGAGAAAGTGATTAAGAACAGAAAAAAGGAACAAGAGGCATAACTGTCACCTAATTTCAAAGAGAACAGAAATCATTAAGAAAGGGAACCAGAAATTTAGTGAAATGCAACTTTCAAATCTGCAAAGCTAGAGAAATATCATTTTTCATGATATTTTATGTTTATTTATGAATTACCAGAAAGCTGAACAGAAATTTTGACCTTCAGAAATAGTCACTTAGACATGTTTTGGTATTATGTTTGGTAATGTCTACTATTTCGTATCCTTCCCAAGAGTGTAGTAATCTAAGTCTGTATGCATCAAGAACCAGAATTGAGTACATAATCTCAAATATCTCACACATCTTATGTATTTTCCTGTCATATTTCTTATTTGCTTTATTCTTTCATTATTACCATACCCCCTCAATTAAAGCTAACTCTGTTTCACTGTCAGATCCTAGCATTCTTTTTAGAGATTATATATTTAGAAATGTAATCATTTCACTGCCAGTAGTACAAATTAATCAACATTTTGACATTATCTCTCTACTATGGAAAACTGGAGATTTAGCAGAATTCAGTTTTATACTTGTGTGTATATAAATATATAGATAAATGCACTTATTCAGGCCTCTTCAAAATGTGTATGTTCTCAAAGGAGACAATGTATATATTAAAATAAAAAGGATTTATGGTTTGCTCATTCATAAAAGAGCAATTTTTCTCTCTCCTATTACATTTAGAAGAAATTAAATCTTATATTTATTTTCTAGTAAGAGCAAATATTGCTAAAGGCACTAAAAATAACTCCTGTTTTACAACTTATCATTAAAAACCTATACTTAAGGCTCTCCCTGGTGGTGCAGCAGATTTAAGCAAAGCACTAAGAAAATAAAGTCACTTCAGCGTAAGTTTGATCCCCACCCTGGAGGTGACCCACATGGCGTGGCAGACCTCTCCTGACCTGCCCACTGCTCTCTCCTCAGCAGTGTACTTTGTCGATCTGCCTGTTTTGCTCTCCACTGTCTCTGGTGAATCCTCTCACCCACCACACCTCTGGGCTGTACCCCAATTCCGTAAGTATAAATAAAAAATAAACCTTAAAAAAAAAAATCTTCACTTAAAAATGTCACTTGGCTTATTAGCAAAAAAAAAAAAAACTATATATGTTAGTATAAAAATACAGAAATATGAAATATGAAACATAAAATTTAGCCTTAAAAATGAATCTATTTTGACTGGTCTTTAATCAATATAACTAATACTATACCATTTATAAAAGGGAAGTTTTATTTTTTTTCTTAAATGATAGTTAAGCACTGCTACAGATTTGCAGTTTTGGTTCTGTATGTGGTTTTGTCATCAAGCATATCTCAAGTAAATGATAAGCCCTTTGAGCCTGTTAATGATAATCTTATTATTTAGTAAATGGGTAAACTAATTTATAGATTATATAGCTCCTTTGATCCTTTTTTCTTGTCTTTTAAATACTCTTTATTTATTTAAAACTTCAATCTGAGTGGCTCAGACAGAAAGAAGATAAAACTCAGTTTATTTCTTATTAAAAGCTATGTTAAGTGGTTTTCCTGAGGATGACATTTAATTTCCTGGCCAAGTGAGGATTATGAATAACAATTCTGACCTACTCAAATCAGTTGTCACAAGAGGTCAAAAGGTACAAAGCTGTTTAAAGACCTGTTACTATAGTTTGTATGTATACAAAAACAGAATAATACTTTTCCCAATGTGACATTTGGAAGGAAGTTGAAATCTGAGTTTCTGAAAAGCAAGTCCCAATGTATATAATGCAGAAACCTAAAACAAACACAAAATATAGTTTTACAAGGGACCTACAAATACAGGAAAATATGGTAGTAAATACTCAATGTTTTCTTGCAGATATTTCTATGCTTGATATTTATGTATTATTATTTTTTATCTTTATTAGATCTAGTGACTTAATAGGACAGAATTAGGCATTTAACAGAATTGCTTAGATTTTTATTACTCAATAGGGAATTAAACACCACACAGGTTTTACACCATTTATCCCCCAAACATTAATATACAGCCAATGTAAAGCTTGCTTAAACAGAAAAAAAAGTATATATATTAGCATTTCTATTTAAGATAATTTGCATAAAATCAGTTAACTCTTCTGAATTAAGTTAGACAGCAACAAAATATTTTTAAAATATTCTATACTATTTAGATTTCAATATGTTAGCACTAACTTGCTGAGTCCCTTTGAATTACTGATAGTATCTGGCCACTATATACGTTCTATCGTTAAATAAATACCAAAAGAAAATTACTGACCTAGATCCCACTGCACCATCTCCAGAATCTTGGCTTCCAGCTTCACTTGGTGTGCTCACAGATTTGGAGGATGGAGACATAGGAGGAGGGACTAAATAGTGAAATAGACATGTATCTGTTGTTACTACACGGAGAGGTTGCTCAGCTTATGACATTTCAAAAGTAATTTAACATGACATAATTAACAACAACAAAAAATAATGGCAAACCAAAAAACAAAGATACATGAATAAAAATTAACAGTAAAAAGAAAAGGAGAAAGACAAAGTTAACAATACATGCTAAAGATTCATGCAAACTTCTCTGGCAAAATGCATTTGGGTTTATATTCTTAGGGAAAAAAGCAAAATTATGGAAGGATGCATCTTGACTTCAGCCAACACCAAATGTGGGCACTAATTTTCAAAGGAGAACATTCCTACTTCCCTTTCTCACTTCTTGATTATATGATTACCAGATTGTAATACTATAAATTGCTATAAATACTATAAATTCAAAATCAAAACTTTGAAATATGATTCAAAAGTCAGTTACCCTCTGGTTTTCTGAGACTTATTTTAAAATGTTAATTTTTGTCTAGCAAGTTTTTCATTCAAAAATTACCGACTTAAGATGATTTCATCCTCCCCCACCAGAGAAAAGGGGAAGGCGTACAATTTAGAGACACTGACTATAGCTAAAGGAATGGCTCCTCTGAAATATTCATTAGCTTCCAGCAATTTGGGTGAAAAATGCACACAGGCCATAAAAACAGCATGCCTTCGAGACATGATGCATAACATAAAGTGAGGCATGCAACTTAAACAAGCAAGACTTATGGTAACTTCCTTACCCCAGTATTCAGAAAAAACTGAAGTGTACAGACAAAGATACAGACACCCAAAATATTCTTAATCCCTTCTTATAGAAAAATACACATTTTTCATAGTATATAAAACAAACAGCAAATGCTTTCCCCTAAATTGTCACTTTTAACATTATATAGCAACAGTTGAACGTGCACATTTCATGCTACTACATTTTTAAAACTTTTGATTACCACTGCAGGGAATATAGGAGGACCATCACTGCCATCTTCTGGTTAAATTTTACCATAAATGTCCCCAATCCCAAGTATCTTTTTTAAGATAAATTTTCAATGTCACTTAATAGTGACTAATACATTTTTAAAATTTTTAAGTGAAGTGCCATTGTTTTACATCTTTCAGAAACAAGTATAAAACCATAACCCTAACTTGTCTTAGGTTAGATTTCTGTATCTTTTTTTGTAATTCCCACTGTGAGTTTTCCCAGGTTTAAGCTCCATCCAGGAGAGAAATAAAAGAATAGCATCTAAGAATGGTTCATCTACTGTACTATAAGCACAAATTAATGCTTACTATATAGTAAGGGTAGCACAATATTTTCCTGTAAAATGTACATAGGAGAAATGAAAAATTTTCCAAGTATACATGTCAGAAAAATTAGGGAAATGGTAACATTCCTAACAATCTATTTGTGTTGAGCTATAGGACTTTTTCCCAGTTTAATGTTATCCCTCTTTTCTGATGACATCAAGTATTAATGACTCCACCCAACAACTTCAGCAGTACTTTTAAATGGTTAAGACTATATATTTTTTAAATGTCAACCTTTTTATGGAAACAGGTTAAACAGTAATAATACATCATAGCTAACAAACTCTAAAATGTTTCAGAAAAAACAAAAACTCCAAAAGGGTGATGCTACCAAAATTGTTATTTTTTACCCAAGGCAAAATTACCGTAACATCAAATTTATAATTTCATAAAAATAAAAATCTCCATCCCAGAACTATATTCTTCTGTGAAAAGATAGTTTTCAGGTCAGGTGATCAAAGGATTCATTAAGTGCTTATAGTTATTATCGGGCACATGAACTTCATTTTCTGTCCCAAAGAAGGGACAATCCCCCCAAAACACTGAAAAATGAATGTTAACAGGAAAAAAAGGGAATGTAGTGTTATACAATGACTACCATGTTTTAATCCAGTTAGTCTAGAAAAATCAGTTCACATGGTAATTTTATAATGAAGCAGTAACACTAGTTTCAGATTTCAACAAATGACCTCCCAAGAACAAATAAACTCATGCATTCAGGGAGATTAAAAAACTGAACCCCCTGGTGGCACAGTGGGTTAAAGCACAACACTAGGAAGCTAACGCCTGAAATTCAGCATGAGTTCGATCCCTACCCCAGAGGTGATCCACATGGCTTGGCAGACCACTGCTGACCCACCTGCTGCTCCCCTCAGCAGTGTACTTCGTCCATCTGCCTGTTCTGTTCCCCACTCCGTCTCGGGTAAAGCCTCTCACCGCCCCCCAATCTCTGGGCTATACACCAGTTCTAAATGCATAAATAAATAAATCTTTAAAAAAACTGAACTCAGAACTCTCAAATCTCAGAAAATACTCAATTCTAGATTTTTAAAGAGGGTTTAAAAGACCAACCAGCTTTGAAATTAGCATAAGCCACAAATAATTAGCTTTTGGCAAGTATTTGAGATATGATTTGCTTAATAAGAACATTGACTGAATCAATTACCTTTACTTCACAGTTCTGCATATATAATAGCCTAAAACAAGGCTTTAAGTAATACAAAAGAAAATCGTTAATGTTAGCATATATGAACATGTGAATGAATTTAAGTTTAGAAGAAGGTGACAGCAATGATTCCTATTGCTGGAGAATCAGTGAATGCTACAGTATAGCATTCACTGATCAGGTAAAACTGAAAGCCTATGACAAAAAGTCAATCAACAAGGACTTTGCTGCCAACTCAGGTCTTAGCTTTCCAAGGATCTAAAATTAGCATTGCTGTCCTTCCGCCTAAGAAGAAACAAGCATATTTCTTTAACCACAGAGGACCTAGGAATTCACCTAGTTAGAATTTGTTAGAGCTAAGCTTCAGTTAAGCACTCAAAAAAACACATAATTCTCTGAGATGAAGAATGAAATAAAGCCAAATTATTTTTCAAGTAGAAGAAAATCTCTGGGGCAAGAAGGGACTTATGCCAAGAAGCTAGAAAGGCAGACAGCCAAGCAAATGCCTACATGGGGTAGGGGTATTGGTAGAAGACACTGAAATGAAGAGTAAGCTTTTTGGCCCTCCCTGGTGGTGCAATGGGTTAGGACAAGGAGCACTGCAAGCTAGCTGTAGCCCCTTCAGTGCAAGTTTGATCTAGCCCCAAGGTGATCCACAAGGCACAGCAGACCTCTGCCTTGCCTGCTGCTCCCCTCAGCAGTGTACTTCGCTGATCTGCCTATTCCACTCCCCATTCTGTCTCTGGTGAAGCCTCTAACTACCTCTGCACCTTGGCGTGTATACCAGTTCTGTATGCATAAATAAATAAATAAATCTTTAAAAAAAGAAAAGAGTAAGCTTTTAGGTAACCCTAAATTGTGTGGTCTCTTCTAGCTTATCAACTTGGGAAACAGTACTCAAACACAGCTTGTATTACAATAGTGCCCCCTTGTGGGTACAAATGCTCCTAGAATATTAACATTTAAATAATTCTTCATACTTTACTTTCAGTCCTGGAAGTTGTCTCCTTAAATCTTAGTACTCTGAAGTATTAATATTAATTTATCCCTTTTAAATGCTCTTTATCCTAACAATAAAGTCTAAATACCCTACGCTAGTCTCCCCAGTTTAATTTCTTTCAGTTTAATTCAGAGCATCAGATCAAATTTTTTTAATGAATAAAAACGAAATTTTACAGTATTAAAATATTATAAGGAATCATTTGTCAGGCTAAATTAAAAAAAATTACTCCATATGTGGAAATCATTCCTTCTAAAGATCAGATTTAAAATATTTAAAAGCGAAAAACTTATTTTAACTAGCAAACTTTATTTCTTCCTAATTAAGAAAATCCAGACAATAACTAACTACACTAATGTAATATGATGTAAAGTGTTATACTGTATAAGTTCAGGCTACAAAGTAACTGACAGTTCATAAATATTTAACAAACACATTGTGAAGAGAAACACAGTATATGCATAGAGGGTTATGATATAAAACATTTTATATTGTGGGCTATTGTCAAAAAAATGTTACTCCTTCATTTATATTCTATATTCTTCAGATCTAACTTAAATACTGGAACAATCTTTAGGCATCTATCAAAGAATACTAGAAAATGGAAAAATCACATAACTATTAATAAGGATAGTATAACTTATATATCATATCTAACTTAAATACTGGAACAATCTTCAGGCATCTATCAAAGAATACTAAAAAATGGAAAAACCACACAACTATTAATGAGGATAGTATAACATATATAATAAAATCAGATAAGAATGTAGTGAAGGGGAAAAAAACTGTAAGCCTGACTCTTATAAATATACATGAAGTATATCTAAATTAACAAATACAGCAATGCTTAAAGAAATTATCTCATAACTAAATTGGACTTATTTCAGAATGGAAACAGGCTTTCACATTAGAAAAACTACCAATATAAATCACACTAACACATTAAAAGGAGGAAAAGAAACATACTTTCATTCCAAAATATGAAGAGATCTATGCATTTGTAGTGAATATTTTGGTGGTCTTAAAGAAAATCCACGAATTCTTTGTGATTGTAGACCAACCTTAGTGATTCTCATTCAAAGGTCAAAAAGTGGCAGATATGATGTCCTGTCACTTCCAAAGTTAAGTCACAAAAAGGATAGCTCCCTCCAGCCTGTCTTTTCTCCTAGAATCCTCTCTCTGGATGAATTCAGTTGACATGCTCTAAGGATACTTAAGTACTTCTGCATAGTGCTCTATGTAAACAGGAACTCAACCCTCCCACTAACAACCAAACCCAATGTGACAGCCATGTGAATGAGCCACCTTTAAAACAAATCTAGCCTTAGTCAAGCCTTCATGTGATTCCAACTCTGACATCTTGACTTCAACTCCATGAAGGGAGTTGAGCCAGAACTAGCTAAGTTGGTAGCAACTTCCTGACTAGCAGAAGCTATGAGAGATAGTAAATATTTATTACTTTTTTATGAAAAACTAAACTGTTAAAAAAAGAAATGGAAAACTTGAATAGACTGTAACCATTAAAAAAAAAATTGAAATGGTAAATAACCTCTGCTTTCTACCACTACTGGAGAAAAGTCATAGTCTCAAGCAACTATAACACTGAATTCTACCAAACATTTAAGAAATAGGTGCATGATTTTTATAAGTTGTTCTATAAAAGAACAAAAGAGAAAGCTCTCCAATTTATTTTAAAGTCATAACCATGAGGGCCACTGAAAATGAATAGTACAGAAAAAGCAAATTTCATTTTTTAGTATTTATACAACCACAATGTACTAATAGGCTGATATAAAATAAAGCACACAGCATCATCTATGAGACATCTTTGGCAAAGATGCTCTACGTGGAGCTAATTGAGTTTTTTTTTTTTTAAAGATTTATTTATGCACACAGAACTGGGGTGTAGGCCAGAGGTGCAGGGGCCATGAGAGGATTCACTAGAGACAGAGCAGTACAGGCAGATTGACAAAGTACAATGCTGAGGGGAGAAGTGGGCAGGTCAGGAGAGGTCTGCCACACCATGTGGGTCACTGGCCTGGCTGGGCATCGAACTCATGCTGACGCAGCTGTGGCTAGCTTCCTAGTGCTGGGCTTTAACCTGCTGCACTACCAGGGAGGGTCCTAATCAAGTTTTTAAATCTGATTTCCAGTTTAGAGAAAATACAAAGGGTAGAGAAACAAAGACATGTGAGAAAACGATTAGATAACCCCATGATGGGCCATGCTAGAGATTAACTGACTTGCTTTCTCAATAAGTTGATAAAAAGTACAAAACATAGCATGTATGAGAAGGATCTCTAGATTTAGAAAAACTACAGTGTAATTAAATGCAACATATTATGCAACAAAATTTTGTAAGGAAACAAACTAATTTTTTGAAGGCAAGAAAAATGTGAAGCAAATTATTTTCATACAGAGGAAAAATGGGTGCCTGAGTAATTTTCTATATTAAAAATTAAGATAAAATACAAACCATTGTAACTAAAGCTGTGGCCTAACAGAACAGAATCAAAGAGCTCAGTAGTGAAAACAGAGACCACAAAAGCCGATAGTAAATGGGAACTGAGTATATGACAAAACTGGCATCAGGTGGCAGTAAGGGAAAAGATAGACTATTTGATAAGTGGTACTGAGAAAACTGGAAAACTATCTTGAAAAAAATAACTAGATCCTTATCTCATATTATCTTAAAAAATATAATCCAAATATGTAAAAGAAAAGGTTAAACTATAAATCTTACAGAAAAAATGTCTTCAAAGTAGGAAAGGATTTGTTTCAAAGGCAGATCAAAAGCACAAAAAGAGAGTTTGTAATTGGTAGGTGTGACCATAACAAAATGAAAAATTTGAAGATATATCTACAAGAAAGATTCTGTTCAATGAAGGAAGGACCTGTTCACACAGATATATGAAACCTTGAAAAATATAAACACACATAAGACAAATAAAAAAAAAAAGAGTATGTTAAAAAGAAAAAGGGTACTCAAGATAGGAAAGAGAAATGGAATTACAGCTAAAGAACAGTCTTTCAACAGAGTTAATAGGTAATAATAGACAAAGAGGTATATAGGTATATTTAAAAAGACTGCAATAGACAGAGAAGTCCCTCTTAAAATAAAGGAGCTCTTAATAAATCAGCAAGATATAGAAACAATATAGTAAATGGGAAAAGGAGAAAAACATGAATCTAATTCATAGAAAGAATTACATAGACTTCTTACATACACACACACACACATACATACATACATACATTAAGAAATGGTCAACCTTGCTGTAATCACATAAATATGCATTAAAACACTATGACACATAGCCTGTACCCATTAAGGCAGCAAAAGCTGGATCAAGTAAAAATGTGGATATAGTGAAATAGTTACTCTCTCATGTACTGATAGTGGGGTGATAAACTTAATTCTTGAGAATGGTGTGTGGAATTTAATAAATTTAAGTCTATGCATACAATAACACAGCCCAATTATTGGGCACAGTACCCCAAAAATGCTTCCACAGTTCTCAATGGGTAAGAATACATTCTTTGCAGTGTTGCTTGTGATAGCAAAGCAAAGGATTAGAAGCAATATAAATGCCTACCACTGGAAACAGATAAATTTGGTAGAAGAATAGTACATTATGTATTAGTCAGAATAAAACAACTATATCTGTATGTGGCAACATGGATATATGTCAAATGCTGCTTAAGAAAAATAAGCAAAATGAGATATATAGCACAATGCCATTTAAGTATATTAAGACATACACACAGATATATAAAACCTTGAAAAATATAAACACATGTAAGACAGGTAAAAGACTATGTTAAAAAGAAAAGAGGGTACTCAAGACAGTGAAGAAAAATAGAATTACAACTAAAGAATGGTCTTTCAAAAACTGATGATGGAGGTGGGCCCAGAATTGAGAAATATGAGAAAGTGACCTCAATGAAACTGAAATCCTAAAAAAGAAAAAAAGCTACAGAAACAAATTAAAAGCCACTGACTCAGAAAAAATGATCAAAGACTATACAACTAATAAGAAGCCTTCAGAGTACTTTAAACAAGTGGATGTTCTGATTCATTTACTTTTGATATAAGCTTATTAAATAAAGACAAAGAAATCAATGTATTTCAATGTTCAGACTTAAGCAACATGGAAGGGGCAAATAAGTTGAAAGAAATGGCAAAGAACCAGACCATGAGAGTAATCAGTTTTCATCTTCAAACTGGCATTTTAGAAACATAGGTTGTTAAGGACAGATGTTGCAGTTTCACAACAACAGGCATTAGCATTTATTGTCTCTGATATTTGTCCCCAGGATGAGGTGGAATTAGCCAAACAACTAATCCTGAAATTTGAGGAACTTAAAGGACAAAGTCCATGTCAAACTAAAATGCTATATGACAATACCTTGTTCAGAAATACTTTGTGTAAGCATCTGAAACTTCTGGATAACTAGATTATCCTCAGTATCTGCACTATTTTAGTTTTTTTATTTACTGGCATCAAAATGAGTAATGTAGGAAAATGAACAAGATTAAATCAAATCACTGCCAAATAAGCTACCAATATGATTTCCCTTTACTAGCATTGAGAACAGAAGTTTCTCCTTCCACCCCAAACTTTTGAATACTATATATACTTTCAAGACTTCGATTCATTATACCTTTCTCCAGCCTTCAGAAAGGAATCCAGAGTTAAGATCAGAAATCACAGTCATCTTTGAGTTTACTATGTTTCAGAAAACTTGCTCAACAAACGTTTGTTGAAATAAATTACTGATTAAATAAGAAAAGTCAATTGGTGGTTTAGTACATGTTAATAAATATAATTAATCAGATCTTCTGAACAAATAAAACAGCCATATATATTAGCACATCTGTAAACAGGCAATTCCAAAATTAAATATAAGATGAATGATCTTTTAAGAGAAACAAGAAAAAATATGGAGACTATATGATCAATTCACTCTTCTCAGGTACATCTGAGCTGAACAGAATTTATACCTATCTCTTACAAATGGATATATTCTTATCCTTACCAATGGGGGTTTCTGGAGTCAGTCCCATGCTTTGAAGCAATGCTTCAGCTTCTCTTCTTTTTTTTTCAAGATCTGTCTCTTCTTGTACAGGAGCTGTTGCTTCCTTCTTCTGATCTGTCTGAATTTTTTAAGTTAAAAACTTGTTTACAAACAGTATGAAACATTCTGTGTGCCCCCCCCCAAATGTATTTTAAACAATATGCAAACAATACACTCTTTGGGGAGGACTAAGTTTTTAATACAGATTAAAATCATTAAATAAAAATTATTCTCGGGAGAACAAGGAGGAGACTTGAGGAAGACACATGGAGCAGCAAGCATGTGAGGAAGAAACCGTGCTTGTTTCCTGACCCTGGACTGGTTAAAGCAGATGTGGAAAAGCCATACAGCCAGAGCTGAGAATTAAGAAGGCATTCTTAGGTGAATTTGCTAGACAATAAAGTGAAAATCCCAACAAGGACAGGATTCTAATGATTAGAGATCATCAAAGCCTGGAAAAGTTGTTCTGCTGATGAAATATTTTCTTTTGCTTACCAATTCCTTAGTAGTACTTGAAGACCAATAAATGGGAACAAATCTAATTCACATGAAGCACCAATAAAATAGGGAGAGGGTGTTAAGAGCAGGTTCCATTGTCTGTGCACATGAAGGCTAAATCCTATTGCTATGAACTAAATAACTGGTAATGAGACCAGAGTTTCCAAGATATGATATTAAGGTAGCTAAAATGTGTGTGACACATTAAACTCTGATTGCCTACATATACATAAAAAAAATAAAAGTAAAAATCACTCTCCACAGAGTACCAGTGAACATCTCTAAGTGATAGATTCCAAATTGATACATTTTTAGTATGTAGTATTATTACCTATAATAATGTTCTTAAGAGGTAAGTTGAATAAAGTCAACTTTTATTTATAATTCTAATATAGTTTAACTAGAATTGGAAATTGTTTCCCACAGTAAGGAATTGTAGCACAGTTCCCATTGGCACAAGAGATTAGTTACAAATATCACAACACTATGAGAAGAAAAAATGATGGAATTTTTAAAGAAGTAATACATTTTAAGTAAATTGTTCTGCTGAAAAATATAAATACTCCAAACTTCTATACAAAGTCTTCATTATATTTATGCAACTTTATGTAGGAGATGTTTATCAAAAATATTTCTGTTAAAAGGGTTTTCAGTTTTTTAACTGTAGGGCTTAGTTTGAGGGTAATAAAAACATGGGTGGGGTTGGTAAAAGTAACTTGTACATAGCACAAAATACTTTTTGTTTCAAAAATTTTGTCAGTTTTTATTTCAGAGTTTCAGCAAAATCCTTCAGTTAAACCTCAATATTCTCAGGTCATTCAAAACATCTCATGTGAAAGGTAAGCCTCCAAGAGAAAGGATATGTTTGCGTGTGTATTCTGAACACCTATTTCAAGTAGATAACTATTACTCAAACAATTGTTTGTAGCGAAATTTGTTAGTTATAATATTTTATGATACCATTTTAACTTAAAGCAATCATCAGGAAATTGCATTAAAAGCCAAACAAATGATATTATCAAGTCGACACAATCTGTAATAGCAATGTTATTACTAGATCACTGTCTTGTACTACTAAATTAACTCTTTTAAACTTTAAGTGAAGTATGCAATAGATATTGCTTAGAGGCTAACTTATGGCCTTCCTTAGAAAACCAAAATCAAATATGCTGTCAGTACGAAGGGTTTAAAGCTCTGGATGACACTTTAGAAATGTTCCATCAGTCTGAATCATGATTTTACCAGTTAGTTTTTAGTTAATTAGCTAATTTAAGGTTCTAATCTTCTCCTGTTGTAATGTGTCACAAAATGTTTCAGAATAAACAGAGAATTCAATTACAGAACTTTACAGCATTAAAACAATGCTGCATATAAATTGTACTTAAAATTTTTCTGCCACTGATTTTTTTCCACAGGATATTTCTAGAGGTCTTGGCTATTTGGATGATCACATAGAAAAAGACTGGATAAATGGCACACTTAGGACAAATTATCTTAGGTTAACCATATAAAATACACAAATTTGTCAAAAGACATTCCATAGTTATGAATGTGTAGTTCAATATGGAGCATATTTAATAGCTCTAGCTCAGGGTCAATGTATATTTGCAGTACATGATACAATGATAGTTCCAAAAATCAGAAGACAGAAGTACCTGGCCCACCTTTATGGTAGTATTAAACCTACTACTCAATAAAAATATTTTTACAATCAGCGTAATAAAGATCCTTTGCCACTAATAGCTGACAAATTATAAGCAGTTCAGATCCTATAATATTCAGATAAATAAAAAACTCCAAACTAAGTTATGATATATATGCTATGTTTAATTACCTATTATTCTGCAAATACTTCTTAATTCATGTATTCCTGGAAGCCTAAATATATAAGTTGAACTTTTATAAGTCAAATCCTAGAAATGTACTAATCTATATAAAATAGTTTTATTCAATAATCAAAAAGCCACATTTTACCACTTTTGTCATTTTCACATTCCTCATTTTTTTAAACTTCACCTATGGTGCCATGTTTGCAGTCACCACAGCTGGATTTTTAACTACTCTCAAAAGTGTTACATAAAGATATAAGTTTTAAAACCCAATTATTTTACATAAAATTTACTTTTAAAAATAAAACATACTTCCTTCTTTTTCCTTTCTTCTTCTTTTCTCTTCTTTTCCTCTCTGATTTGGGCCAACCGCTGCTTCTTACGCTCCAACTCTGCCTTTAATTCACTTTTGTCCGACATGTTTGTGACCTTAAGAAACAAATAATCATTTACAATCATTGCATTGCATCAGCAGCACTCTTAAAAAAAAAAAATTAACCTTCAGGAAGAGAACTGGTATGTAGTTCAATGTTATTTAAAGAGAATATATAGGCTCTACTTTTAAAGTAATGAAAGAGACTTTAAAATACTTGAAAACCATGAACAAATCTGAGCATAGCAGCTAGGACCAAGTACATTCTTTAATGTTTGCATGTACCAAATTAACACAACATCCCAATTTTCTTGATGACAATATTATCAGAGCACTGGAAATAAAAGTCAAAACTGGCTCTAAAAACAGATTCATGGACTAGCATTAAGAAGCTCGTAGGTTACTGGCACAGATGAACTCTACCACCAGTCTTCCGTTCATTCTGAGTTGATCAATAAAAAATAGACAATTTTTCTGTAAATTCTGTGCTATGTAATAGTAATAGAAAAGATGCGCAAACAAAAGTTATTATTAACTATCAAATAAAGTAAATATATTTTTAGTCAAAGCCTGACAGACTTAAGTTTATACAGCTGACCCCGCCGACTCATCTTCACAACGGCGGAAGCCTCCGTAACTGACCCATTCACGTTCTTAAAACTCCAGGGAAATGAAAGTCTGCAATGTTGTGCTACAATCTCCGCGCGCGGGGGCTTCCCAACACACACCACACACAAACTCTCACACGGTAACAAAAAAGCTGTCAATGCAAATACCAATGACTTTTATTTGTAAAACGGAGCAGAGCGAAAACGAGTCACTTCTCCCAGGGATCACTGCCAAGAGGGCGCGGTCCAGGCAGCGTTCGGGGGAGGGGGCCAGAGGGCACCGGGCGGGCATCGAGGCTCCTCGACCCACCTCCGGAGTGTTAAAAGGGAAAAGGAACAAAACTATTCTCCGGCCTTCCTGAGTCACGGCTCCAAGCTCTCCCCGCCACTCCTTCCTGGAACCAGGCAGGGCGGCTCTGTCAGCAGGAACTGCCAAAAGGCCGTTTGAGTCCCAAAGTGAGACAGAACGGACAGGTGGATGCTCAGGGAAGAACCGTCAACCCACCTGTCAGGTGGCGGGCTGGGGAAGAGTCCGCCCGCCGGCAACTTCCCGGTAACCTTCGTAGCTTTCGACCCCAACGCCAACAGTCGCCACCACTAGCTCTGCGGCTTCCCGAAGCACACAAAGAGAGATGGGCGGCGGCCGCTACGGCGAGAGCTTGGGGACAAATAGCTTCACCAGAACGAGGTCGCTCACAGAATGAAGGGGTGGGGCCCTGCTGCAAGGACTTGTAACCCTTTCTTGATTTACCTGTGTAAAGCAGAAGTCGAGAAATGAAGAAGAACCCAGGTAGCCTAGTGCCTTCGCTAAGACTACGCCTAGTATCCTCAAGCTAGGTAAGCAATCACCGTCCGCGCGGTACAGTTTGACATGACTCAGGAGAACTACAAGCCCCAGTTTCAGGGGAAGCCTGCGTGCGGCGAGCAATGCATTCTGGGAGTTATAGGCTGTAGTAATCGAGAGGTATGCTGGGACATGTAGTGTTTGCTAGTCTTCGCGTTCCCACTGAGAGGCCTTCTCTCTTCACAATTATGAAGACAAGCTTCCAACTCTTCTCCTAGATGTGTTTTCGTCGCTCATAGTTTTGTGTGTGTTTTACCTTGAGATCTTTTTGACACAACATTGGCCTAATTTTAAGAAGGATTAATTTCCAGTGGGGAACTTGTGAAGTACCCTGTACTTTCGGTGAAAAACACCTTTTCCGGCGTTTTTACTGGCGTGTGTACCAGTTTTAGGAGAACAAAAAAAATTGCCTTCAGAAGTTTCGTGTGACATCTTATAGGCAAAATCTGAAAAGAATATGTTAATCAGCATAGGAAATAAGTCTCTAGTATTTTGTTTCAATGTGGTAAGTAGCATTTTGGTATTCTCTCAAAAAATTTTTGAAAGAAAGCTTTTCATACTATTAAATGTGAATAATGTCCATAGTTGTTGAAATTTTAATATAAAAAGAAAGGTTATTGGAATATGAATTTACATAAATGTATTATTTGATACACATTTAATTTTTTATTTCAATAATTTAAAATATAACTTGGCAGAAATTAGAAGTTAATACCACAGCACTGTTTTTCTTATATTCTAAAATACATTATCCAATGTAGGATTAACCTTAAGAATTCAAATTATAAATCCTTTGGCTGTTGCCTAGGGTTTTTATTTATCTGCTGTCTCTATACAGATAAATACCTCAGAAATAAATTTGGAATCTTCCCGATTCTAAGACTTTCCACTCTAACCTACAATTTCAAAGAAATTTATGTTAATTTTTAATTTTATTTTTCCTAATTTTTAGTTTTATTTATTCATTTGGAAAATTGCTCTTGATTGCCTACCATGTACCAGGAATGGTGCTGTGCATTCTGAAAGTTAACATACACATTTTCTCAAGGGGGAAGGATGGGATTGGAGGGCTGTGTGAACACTCACCCCTACTAAACATTATGATGGGATTAAATGAAGAAATGATTAAAACATTGTGGAAAAGAACATCTTCAGGACATGATTCAAGTGCTAGGTCTTGGATTCTGGATATTTGAGTTGAAGTTAACCAAGTAGAGAAGCTGCAGAAAGGTACCAAAGGAATAGGTGAGAATATGCCCAATATACAGAGATGTAAGTTCATGAGTACTGGAGAATCTGGATATATTCAGGATCTTTGTAGGCTAAGGCAAGAACTGGGGAATAAAACTGTAAGCAGGGCATCTTGAAGATGAATTGAACCGAAGGACTGACTTTTGAGTGGGAAAACAGCATGATAAGATTTGCATATTAGACAGTTTACTTTTCTTTCCTTTTTTTTAAAACATCCTTTATTTTTTCACAATAAAGGATTTCTCCCCTCAGGTGCTGTCACCATAGTTTTCTCACCACCAAAGTACTCCTGGTCTTCCACCACACTACACCATGCTCTCCTCCTCCCCTGTTCTCTTCTCTCCTCCCCGTCCCCTTCTCTCCTGAGTAGGCAATTTGCAAAGTGGCCCGAAGAAAGGCTGATGTGCTAATTATTTTCTCTTTGCCCCTCAGTTCATTTCCTGCCCTTTTCTACCAAACTCTATTCCCCTAGGGATTGACCTTAGGTTTGGGGGTTTTTGGAGGATTACTTTGTGGCTGGGTTTGAGCAAAGGGGCCTAGGTAAGATTGTCAGAAGGCAGGTGGAAAGGGAAATTGGGCATATCTTTCCCCATTCTTCCCTTCCTTGATTTTTACATCTCCAGAATTAGCTTCATCCCTCCATGACTACAGTTTCTGCCCCGTGGTCTCTCCTCTTTAACTGGGCTCTGACATTTCCCCCCCTTATCTCTTTACCACCACCTCCATAGCTAGTTTCTAAATAACTCATCAGTTCTTCTTTGCTACCTTAACTCTCTTAGCCCTTCTGCCACTGGTCCTTTCATTAAAGTATTTTCATGTGCATATTGGGATAAATTCTGTTTCTTGCTGAGACTCTTACTAATAAGGCTTTGTTGAAAGCATGGGAGCTGGAGAGAAGAGGCAGGGTAGAGTCTGGGATCAGGAGGTCTTTTGGATAGAGCCAGAAATCATGTTTACAAGTCACTATACTAGAAATAGGAATTAAGAAAAATAGGTGAACTGGAGGAACATTAAGATTGTATAAGAATTTTATAGAAATAAAGCTTGACAATAATACATTGCTGACTTTGCCACTGAAAATATCAGGATAAAAAAACCCTTTTCATGTCAATAAGTGGGCAAGAAGTTAGGGAAAACTTAGAACAAATAAAGGTGGGAAGCCAGAGGTCATTTGCCTAACTTGGTTCATTTTCAATCTTGTGGGGGTCAGAACACAATAGACAAACACAAAGTCTGGTTTAGGCTGGGATTTTAAGGAAATGGGCCAAATGCATCCTTGATAGAAAAAAATCTACCCCTCTTCTGGAAAATTACCCAACAACTTTGGCACTGAGTGGGATAGGAATGAGAAGGCCAATATCCTCTGAGAATGAACAATCACAAGGGCGGGGGGTGGGGAGGAGGTCCTAAAATGAATTTTTAGCCTGAAATTCCAGTACCTGAATGGTTCATAGACACATGGACTGGAAATTTGGTTTATATTTGTCCCCAGTGTGTTTTGTACTTGTAGGGTCAATGGAAGTTACCGTTTTTTTTTCTGCCTTCCTGCCATTAGCATCTGTTATCAACACATGTTTTCTTACACGTGTGCCTGATGGCAGCACCTGAAGCATGGTGTGGGTGTGTGTGGGTGGGCACACCTGAGCCGAGAGACTGAGTATATCAGGGCAACAGTAGAGGATGGGTGATGCAGTGTAGTGGAGACCAGTGAAGAGAGCATGAGGGAACATCAGAGAGCCCAGAAAGGGTGAAAATTTGCCAGGACTAAGAGGCCTGCCAGGCCTCCCTGCCTGCCCTGCATCTGGTTGCTTCACTACAAATGATGCCAAAGGATCATTAAAAGCCTGAAAAAGGCGCCCTCCTTGGTAGTGCAATGGGTTAAAGCGCAGCACTATGAAGCTGTCCACAGCTACTGCAGCATTAGTTTGATCCCCGACCAGGGAGGTGACCCACAGTGCAGCAGACCTCACCTGACCCACCCGCTGCTCCTCTCAATAGTGTATTTCAGTAGAGCTGCCTGTTCTACTACCTACACTATCTCTGGTGAATCCTCTCACCACCACCCCACGCCTCTGGCCCGCACCCCAGTTCTTGTGTATATATATAAATAATTTTTTTAAAAAATTTACTCATTTATGCACACAGAACTGGGGTACAGGCCAGAGACTCAGGGGTGGTGAAAGACTTCACCAGAGACAGAGTAGGGAGCAGAACAGGCAGATTGGCTAAGTACACTGCTGAGGGGAGCAGCGGGTGGGTCAGGAGAGGTCTGCCACACCATGTGGTCAGCTCTGGGGCAGGCAGGGATGGAACTCATGTGGAAGTGTTTTCAGCTTCTCAGTGCAGTGCTTTAACCCTCTGCGCCACCAGGGAGGGCCATAAAAAGTAATTTTTTTAGAAAGCCACCAAGGGCTCCAGGACTCCTCCTCTACCCATCTGCCCAGGTCATAGAAAACCTGCTGTGTGCCTTCCTGGCACTACAGCACTCAAGTGTGTAGAAGAAGCAATCATGAATTGCTTTTGCTTTATTTTCTTTTGTTTTTGTAGGAGCTCAGCCTTATTCCAGTCTTTGAAGAATTCTGTATAGATAAACTTCAAGAAATGTGAGCTCAAAACTCACAAACCACAAAAAGAAGACACCAAATACAGGAGCCAACCAACCAAAGCAACAGGTAGCACAGTAAGACCCATAAAAACTTCAGATTTTGGAATTACAGACACAGAATACAAAATGGGAGGGTGCTGCTAGCTTGAGCCTACAGTTACATCTCCTAAGGTGCTACTGTTGTCTGATTTGTGGGCTTGGGAGTATTTGCAATGACCAATTTAATTCCTCAGTCAGAGCATCTGGAATCATCTCAGGATAGCATCAGCCTCTCAGTTGTAGTTCAGCCCAAAATTTGTGGGTATTGAGACAGTAAATTCTTTCCCTTGTGGGTGTTGGCAGGGACAGAGTGAACTGAGAGTTGCTGGCAGGTTACGGCAGACAGGTTACTGTCCAGTCAGGCAAGTAAGGGGTGTATGTTTCTCATTTTACATGTGTTTCCACAACAGACTGCCTATAGACTTTTCTCAGTAATTGTAGCACTGGATGGGGGCTGTGTTTGGAGTCTCAGCTGAGATTGTACCCTTAGCTTTTGAGTACAGGTTCTTTCCCTGAGATGCTTGCACTTGTTGCAAGGGTCCAAGTGCATTAAATTCTGATTAATGAATATATTCACACCATTGTCATCTTGATTCTGTCCCCTGGTGGAGGTGGGGCAGGTGTTTTGTGTAACGTATGGAAGAGTCTCATTTCCATAAAGGCATAATGAACCAAGCTTGGCTTTCTTACTATTTTGGGCTCCAGCTGCTCAATCTTGCAGTCACAAGCTCAAGCTGACAATCACCATCTTACACAGACTCAGCACTACAGTCACCATCACTGTAGACTGTTTTCAAGCTTTCCTATTTGGGGGACAATGGTATTTTTCATTCTGCAGCTCCGAGTGCCTGTTTGTTCCCAGTAATTTGATTCTTACCTTTGCATATGTCAGTCTGCTACACTGGCATTCTGTCATGGATGTCTGCTCCTCTCTGCTATAGTTCTCTGGAGGTAAACCCTTCATCCTGCATACCTGCAACACTCCCATGGGGTA